CAAAAAAAGAAAATCCTTACTTTTTTCATGAACCACAGGTTGGCAAGTCAGCGACGCGCGACGAGAAGCGCTCGTCGAAAAACCCATTTAATATTAATTAATTATAACTTTGGGTGTAAATGAAATTTTCATTAAAATATTTAATATGATTGTGTAAACTAAATTCTCATTCGGTGTCCTGATTGAACCCCTTGTCATTGTAACATGCACATCAGTACAGTAACCATATATACACCATGATGTAGTACTATAACGTACGTGCGTACTATAACGTGTGTGCGTACTATAACGTATGTTCGTACTATAACGTATGTGCGTACTATAACGTATGTGCGTACTATAACGTATGTGCGTACTATAACGTGTGTGTTTGTGTTTGCTAGGACCCCCGGACCCTCCCGAGGGCACGTACCTGCACGACTGTGACGTGAAGACAGCCGTCATCATGTGGCAGCCCGGCAAGTGCCAACGACTCGCCCATACGCCGCTTCCACATTCCAGTACCAGGCCGACTTCAGACCCGGGGAGTGGCAGGACGTCGCCCTCTACGGGGGATGCCGTCATGGAGTGCTGGGAACGGGTTTGGAGAGCGCGCGGGGTGTGTGGGAACGGGGTTTTAGGGTGTGGTATCTGCACTGTGATGGTGCGAGGGTGACATATCATGTGTAACAACACACGAGAGCTTTGTAGCCGAGAGCCAGTAGTTGGCGAATATTTAGTGATCACTAATTCAGGCCCAGTGTTGCCAGAGCGTTCATTCTGCAGTATTAATCAAGTTGTCAACTGCAGGCAGGCCAAGCACATGGCAGTGCAGGCATGCCAGGGCAGTACAGACAGGTCAGCCATGCTGGCTAGGACAGAGCAGACAGCGACAGGTCAGGTCATTGTGTGTATAGGTGCTACCTAGTACTATGTCATGATGTGTGTTATATTATTAATAATATATATATATACACACATGCATGACATAGGTGTGTATATATTATAATATATATATATATTATAATATTATATATATATATTATCATTGAGTGTGGTGTGTGTGTGTTTGGCAGCGTTGGAGTATCGTTTGTGAACTGCCTCCGCTGGAGTAAACACACCTTCGGCCGTTTGCTCGCGTGTAGTAACGACAAAGGGTCAGAGCGTCCTAATGAGGAGACGTGACTGTGTGCAGACGGTGCCGCGCCGCCGGTCGGCGCACAAACCTCTTACCAATCGTGAAGGGCAACGGCACCGACCCCAACAACGGTCATCAGCTGGACGCGTACGTGCTCACCATGCTCCACTCCGCTGTTCCCGCCCGCCACCCCAACCTATCACTGTATTTGACCGCCACCTCTCTCCCCCGTCGCTTTTGCACCCCCACCAACGTGAAGCGGCCAACGGCACGCCCCAATCAAACCTGGTCATAAGCTGGACAGTACGTGCCTCACCCATGCCACTAGACGCGCCGCCCGCCCGCCACCCACCTATCACCCACCCCTCGCCCGCGCTAACAAACCCAGCCAACGTTGAAGGGCAACGGCACCCGACCCACAACAACCCTGGGTTCATAAGCTGGACGGTATGTGTAGGGACCCTCCGCACTGCCATCCATGACGCGCCTCCACGCTCACCCACGCACCAACCCCCCTATCACCCTCACCCACCCCCCTCGCCAACCCGCCCGCCTGCCACCCAACCCCTCGGCCCGCGCCAACAAACCCCATCGCAACTGAAGGCACGCGGCACCCCGGACCCCAACAACCTGGTTCATAAGGCTGCGACCGTACGTGGCCTCTCACCATGCTTGCGCCGCCACCGCCACCCCACCAATTACCACCCCTCCCACACTACCACCGTATGCCCCCTCCCACACTCCCATCTTGCCCTCTGGTTCCCTCCCACACTCCATCTTGCCCTCGGTCCCTCCCACACTCCAATCTGCCCTCGGCCCTCCCCACAACTCCATCTTGCCTCGCGTCCCTCCGCACACTCCATCTTGCCTCGGTTCCCTCCCACACCTCCATATCTTGCCCTCCGTCCCTCCCACACTTCGCATCTTGCCCGCGTCCCCTCCCACACTCCAATCTTCGCCCTCGGTCCCTCCCACACTCCATCTTGCCCTCGCCCTCCCACGACTCCATCTGCGCTCGCGGTCCCCCTCCCACCACTCCATCCTTGCAGCCCTCGTCCCTCCCACACTCCATCTTGCCCCACTCCTATCCAGACCCAGCCTTATACGATTCCCCTCCCACCTCCCACCACATTCTCCCGCTCCCTCCCAGCATCCCACCACCCCCTCCCCTCCCACACCCATCACCCCCCCTCCCTCTGCTACCTCCCACCAACCCCCCTCCCCGTCCCACCTACCCCACCACATTTTCCCACTCCCTCCCACATCCCACCACGCCCCCTCCCCTCCCACATCCCCATCACGCCCCTCCCCTCTCAACCTCCGCACCACATCCCCCTCCTCTCCACATATCAACCCACGGCCCCCTCCCTCCATCAATTCCACCACATCCCTTCCCCTCCCACATCCCAACCACGCCCCCTCCCCTTCCACATCCACCACTGCCCCCATCTCCCACATCCCACCGCTGCCGTACCTCCCCTCCCACACCGCTGCCCCATCCCCCCTCCCCTGCCACCATACTCGCGACGCGTCGTTCCCGTCCCCCGCTCATTCCCCATTCTGAGGCGACGTTCGCTTGTCTTGCCTCGTCCGCACCGATGGACCGCGCGGCGAGCACAACGGTCCGGGATTCTCTCTACAGCTGCAGTACCGCAGCAGACGACCGGACAAACCCCGACGGAGAGTGCGACCGTGGTCAACATCACGAGACCCGGACAACAGCCGCTGACCCCGTCGCAGCCGACGACACCTACCAGCCGTGACCATCGAGGTCATGGCCGTTCAAACGAGAAGGCCGGACCCTGGCACGCGATAAACAGATGGTCGGATACTCCGGGCGAGGACAACGTGAGTATAGTGCCCACCTGCCTTGTTCGCGTCGTTAGCGGTCGGTTGTCGATGCGAACGACGAGTTTAGAGGAGAACGTTCATATTAAATTGTCGTATTAATGTCATGTTAAATAGATACTATTACTGGTAAATAGCTGTCAGTAATATCGCTGATTCAAAAATACAAAAAATAATGAGAATTCATTTGATAATATTTTGGGTGATTTTTTTTAGCCAAGCATGATTTGGTTTGTAGCGTATGTGTTTGTGCGGATTTGGGCTGAATAGGTTAGCTACATGTCGTGGATGTTCGTAAACGAATTGCATGTCCTGTAAGCAGTATCAACCTCCACGCTTGAGCTTCAAGCTATTCATGATCAGTAATTCGTGATCGGTATATACGATTAGCGGGCCATCTATATTATGTCATCACTGCCGCGTCAACATGTGTCCTGCGAGCGGGGCGTTGCTAGTGTTTGTAGTCTTCTGCCGCGGATAGCGTTGCCGCGTCTGTGGTTGGCGATTCGGGATGGCATTGCGTGTCTGTGTTGCCGGGCGACGGACTTGACGGCATCTGCGCTTGCTTCAGAAGCCGACGTCGTGCCTCAGAACTCAACGTGAGCCGGTGCCGCCACAGGACGGCCGAGTCGTCTCGGACCCAGTAGGATGCAGTGTGGAGAACATCAATCGGAGCTATTCGCGTGACGTACAAGGTACGCGAAGAGCTGGAAGGCGGGGAATAGCAGCTTAACGCGAGGCAGGGAGATGACTGCAGTAACGCGAGGCGGGGCGGGAGATGACTGCAGTAACGCAGGCGGGGGAGATGACTGCAGTAACGCCGAGGCAGGGGAGATGACTGCAGTTAACGCGAGCGGGGGGAGAGAGTGCGACGGGAGAGACTGCCAGTAACGGCGAGGCGGGGGGAGATGATGCAGTAACGCGAGGCGGATGATGAGTACGAGACTGGGAGATGACTCGCAAAAAAAAAAAAAAAGGTAACGCGAGCAGGCGGAGATGACTGCAGTAACGCGAGGCGGGCGCGAAGATGACTAGCAGTAACGCGAGGCGGGTAGATGACTGCGAGGATAACGCGAGGCGGGGGGAGAGGATGACTGCGAGAGACGCGAGGCGGGAGCATGACTGCCCAGTAACGCGAGGCGGGGAGATGACTGCAGTAACGGCGAGGACGGGGGAGTATGACTGCAGTAACGCGAGCGGCGGAGATGGACTGCAGTAACGCGTGGCAGGGTGAGATACTGCAGTAACGCCGACGGCGGGGGAGATGACTGCAGCGTAAACGGGCGAGGCGGGGGAGTATGACTGCAGCGTCAACGCCCGAGGCGGAGGGGAGGATGACTTGCAGCTAATTGCCGCCTAGGCGGGGGGGAAGATGATGCCAGTAACGCGAGGCGGGGGGAGATGACTGCCAGCAACGGAGGCGGAGGGAGATGACTGCCAGTAACGCGAGCGCCGGGGGAGATTGACTGCAGTAACGCGAACGGGTGCCGGCGGGGGAGATGGACCTGCCCAGGGCTAACGCGACGTGGCGGGGGGGAGAGACTGCGTGCGAGCCTAGTAAAAACGCGAGGCGGGGACGAGATGGACTGCAGTAACGCGCGAGGCGGGGGAGATGACTGCAGTAACGCGACGGCAGGGAAGGATGACTGCAGTAACGCCGAGGCGGGGGAGATGACTGCAGTAACGCGAGCAGGGAGATGACATGCAGTAAACGGCGCAGGTGGGGAGCATGACTGCAGAACGCGAGGCGGCATGGAGATGACTGCAGAACGCGAGGCAGGCGGAAGATGACTGCAGTAACGCGAGGCGGGGGAGATGGACTGCAGTAACGCGAGCGCGGGGGAGATGACTGCAGTTAACGCGAGGCAGGGGAGATGACTGCAGTAACGCGAAAGCGGGGCGAGATGACTTGCAGCTTGACGCCGAGGCCGGGGGGAGAATGACTACCAGTAACGCGAGCGGATGGGCAGATGGACTGCAGTAACGCGAGGCGGGAGGGAGATGACTCGCAGTAACGCGAGGCGGGGGAGATGACTGCCAGTAAAACGCGAGGCGGGGAGATGACGCAGTAACGCGAGCGGGGAGATGAACTGCAGTACGCGAGGGCCGGGAGATGACTGCAGAACGCCGCATGCGCGGTGGCGCGGCCTGGTGGGGTACCTTGCACGGTGAGCTGGGCGACGTGGGTGATCTCGTCGAGGGCGCCGCGCGTGCCGTCGTCCAGCGTGATGTAGGCGGTCGCCACGCAGGTGTAGTCGCCGCGGTCCGCGAACACGACGTCACGGACGGTGAGGCGCGTGTGTCCATCGTCAACGTCGATGCGGTTGACGATGTCGTAGTCCAGCTTCTCAGCGTCCTTCAGCCAGTCTATCGGCGACACGTATTTGGTGACGGAATGACAGTGGTGATGCAGTAACACGGGGATGACACAAATAAACCAGTGACACAGTGAAACCGGTGACTCAGTGACACCAGTTACACATTGACATTGGTGACACAATGAAACCAGTGACTCAGTGAATCCCGTGACACATGATATTTGGTGACACTGGTGATACAGTGACACCAGTGACACATTGACATTGGTGAAACAATGAAACCAGCGACACAGTGACACTGTACTGTGGACACATGACATTTGTGGAGGCTCCCCACATTCATCAAGTATCTGTGCACCACCTCCCCCCTCCCCCACACACATTTATCATATATCCCGGACGCCCCTCGTGTACGTTGTACTTGTGGCACCCCCTACATTTACACAGTATTACGAGTGGCGCCCCCTGGCGTCGCGGGACTTACCGATCTCGATGTCGGCCTCGTCGTCGCCGTCTGCTTCGCACGAGAACGAGACGGTGTGTCCGGCGTCCGCCTTCTCGTCCGACGGAGTCGTGATGAACGTTGTCTTCTCTGCGAGACACACAAGGACACAGACACGTGTGACTACTACTACACGACGAAGGCAGAGCGAGAGAAGAGAACGGAGGGGGAGAGAGTGAAGAGAGAGAGAGAGAGAGAGAGAGAGAGAAGAAGGCAGAGAGGGGGAGAGAGGAGAGAGAGAGAGAAGAGAGAGAGAGAGAGAAGAGAGAGAGAGACGAGAGAGAGAGAGAGAGAGAGAGACGAAGACGAGACAGAAGAGAGAGAGAAAGAGAGAGAGAGAGAGAGAGAGAGAGGGAGAGAGATGAGACGGAGTGCAAAGACGAAAGAGAGAGAGAGAAGAGAGGAGAGAGAAAGAGAAGAGAAAAGAGAGCGAAGGAGAAGAGAGAGAGAGAGAGAGAGAGATGATGAGAGAGCAGAGAACGAGAGCGAGAGAGAAAGCAAAAGAGAGAGGAGAGCAGAGAGAGAGGAGAGCAGAAAGCAGAGAGAGAGGAGAGCAGAAAGCAGAGAGAGGATAGCAGAAAGCAAAGAGAGAGGAGAGCAGAAAGCAGAGAGAGGATAGCAGAGAGAGAGGAGAGCAGAGAGAGAGGAGAGCAGAAAGCAGAGAGAGGATAGCAGAGAGAGAGGAGAGCAGAAAGCAGAGAGAGGAGAGCAGAGAGAGAGGAGAGCAGAGAGAGAGAGGAGAGCAGAAAGCAGAGAGAGAGGAGAGCAGAAAGCAGAGAGAGGAGAGCAGAGAGAGAGAGGAGAGCAGAAAGCAGAGAGAGGAGAGCAGAGAGAGAGGAGAGCAGAAAGCAGAGAGAGAGCAGAGCAGAAAGCAGAGAGAGAGCAGAGCAGAAAGCAGAGAGAGAGCAGAGCAGAAAGCAGAGAGAGAGCAGAGAGAGAGCAGAGCAGAAAGCAGAGAGAGAGCAGAGCAGAAAGCAGAGAGAGAGCAGAGCAGAAAGCAGAGAGAGAGCAGAGCAGAAAGCAGAGGGTGGCTTCCGTGTTGCATGCACGCACAGCACGGAAACGTGCGCACTACCGCACACAGCACAGCGTCGCTGTTGTCCGCCAGCGGCTGGGAGTCTCCCCCCTCTCCTCTTCCCTCTCTCACATACTCTCTCTATCTATCATTCTTGCTCTCTTCCTCT